TCTCTCTCTCCTCTCCTCTTCTCCTTCTTCTTCTCTCTTCTTCTTCTTCTTCTTCTTCTTCTTCTTCTTCTTCTTCTTCTTCTTCTTTTGGATGATAGGCTACTATAATAATATAGGCCTACCATAGATTTTCACTACCAGATAACTATATGAGGCCAACACACATTGTATGTTTTGAAAAGTTACTCGATTTTTAAGGAACTGGGTATCGATAATTATATTGGAACAAAGATAGTACAAGACAAGATGGGCCACTCAGCCTAAAAAGTGTCCGCAGGAAGTATGCTCTTTGCTTCAGATGGCGCTGCAGTCTGTTTTGAAGCTCTCTTTCGTTTTTCCAGAAGAAGAATAGGAATAGCACCTCCTTGCGTGCGCAGATCGACTGCTGTTCATCAGCAGTTCGGGTACGTTCAGTGCGGAGTTTTAGTTTTTTTCTTATTTTAATGACCTCTCGCCCTTCATTCTAAAGTCAAATTAAACGAAGAAAACCATCTCCTTTTCCTCCGGAAGAGGTTTTTTGTCAGCGTAACCATTTTTAAAAAGCGTTCTTCCGAAATTTATCCCAAAACTTGCTAGTTTCACTTTGATTTTTTAAAACTCAAGTAGGGTAACTCTGTTCGCAAAAAGTGCGCTTTTGCGAAGAGGGCGCCACCAAATTTTGAGGACACTTTTTTAATTGGCTCAAAAAGAGAAGTGGCCCATCTTGTCTTGTACTATCTTTGATTGGAACTCTCCTGTACAACCGACAACTTTAGTCAGAAGTGGAAGTTACAATGTCGCCGACAGAAGAACAAACCAGAGGTGAAAGTGTTTGATCTCTAGTGATTGAATGGCCCTGATCGGCCGGTTTGGGTAAGTCTTCTCTTCACCTTGTGATGTTGTTTGTTCCCTCGTGAGTGACAGTCGTTAACTCTTTTGTATTGTCTTCTGTTTTAGCCCAATTACTTGCGACTCGCAACAACGGATTCTACAAAATTGCAGTGGCACAGCAGAGCAATTTATTTTAGTTTTAGCGACAAGAAGTGTGAAGTGAAGAGGTACCTCTACTTAACTTACAAATAATTTTGTTTCAGAGGTGACATACGATTGTTTGGTGGTTGGTAAATGTCCATAGCTATAGGCTACATGATAATGAAACACTGCCAATCTTTTAGGGCTGACTGATCATGACTGATGGAGGTGCGACTGAATGACAGTTTAAGTTCATTGCATCATGAAAATAATTTTCATAACATGATTATAATAATATGTGAATTCTGTTCAATTGATGCGCCATTGCTGAAAATGTTCCTACTGAAATGAAAAAAAATTCCACTGTAAGCTGTAGGCTAGTCTTTATATTGCTCATAATCTGGGCTTGCTCAAAACGGCAGATAATTGCGACAGTGACGCTGTGACAACTAATGCGGCGTCCATTGCAACAGAGTGAACACAGAGTGCTTTTGCGTTGATGATTAATTTTGACAAAGCTTTAGCTAAATTTAGGCCTTAAGATGAAAATTTTGTTGTCTTTAGGAAAGAAATCATCTGAAACAGTTGAGAAGGCGAGCTTAAAGAATGTCAAAAATCCACAAATGAAGACTTTCTGTAGTAGAGTTGACTTTATTATCTGTACACATTATGGACAGCCCAAATACAACGGCAACAAAAACCACTAGGGGCAACAACAGCGACAACAACAAGAAAAGAGCTGCGACTGTCTTTGTTTGTCTGTTACTTTGTTGGTGTGTATGTGTGTGGTGTGTGTGTGTGTAAGGCCACAAAAAGCGTGTGTGTCTGTCTGTGTTAGTGTCATGTGTGTGAGTGTATGTGTGCGTGTGTATATGTGTATTTGTATGTGTGTGAGTTATGTGAATGTGTGTATGCATGTGTATGCTTGTTTTTCTTTTTAAAATCTTATTTTTTTGTCACAGACTCACTCTGTCGCAATTATTGCCACGTTAGTTGTCACAGACTCACTCTGTCGCAATTAACGTTACCTTTACGAAAAGACAGTGGCACT